TAAATTTTATGATCTATAATTTTCTCTCTAAACAAAAAATGACAACTACAATCTACAATTTCCTTCAATTGTTTTCATATTACCATTCCAACATTAGCATTTACGATATAAATGTTACATATGTAACAGACTCTTAAAAGACAATTTTTTTGAAGCTCATGGCATTTGCTTTTGCATTTGCTATCAGGAAAAATCGTTGCAATACATTACTTCTTTTTTTCCCAATTCCGTCAATTCAATATGGGGCAAAAACTCTCTTGTCCTTTGCTTTTTCTTTTCTTCATTGTTACGAGGAATAACTGCAAAATGTACCAGACATGTACACAATTAAGGGAGATATAATTAAGAAGAATGGAGAACAAAAAAAAAAAAAAAAAAGCGAAATCGTAAAATTCAAGTCAAGAAAAAGCAAGCTCAAAGTAAATTCCAAATTAGTCGCTGGAAAAATCTATTTTCTCAAAAAAAAAAACAAAAAACAAAAAGTTAAAAAAGAGGTGGTTTCACCATATTATGTCCATAGTTTACTGCCAATTTCGAAGGAGTTAACAACAAATACCATGAGATACTAGGATCTGAATTTCTGGTTATGTAGGTACTCGAATTGCATTATCTACAGTGTTTGTTGCTTCGGAGTTATATCCTCTCGTTGTTCTTTAATTTATTGAAACTGATATGCTTACAATTCGGTTGCAGATGTGATATTGTTGATTTAGTACATTTTTATCTGAGATTGCAAGGATGGAAGGTGATGCACAACGAAGTTCATGAGATATTATTGTAATGTAAGTAGTAAAAATCCACTCTCAAGGTCTGTCTTCATGTTTACAGGTTTTTAATATCCAAGTTCCTGTTTCTTTGGAGATATTGGCACATATTAGCTGTGGATAACAGTTTATCTGTCCTTTCACTCTTAAGTTTATATTAAACCAACAACAAGGTTGTTATGATAATTTCAATTATTGCTGCTAGTGGTGGCCTTCTCATAATTTCTGTATGATGAACATTGTTTCTTTACCATGATTGATGTTAATTGCGGTGCATTTGATGTTAGAAATCGATACAGAAACATTGAATTTCAGAGTTCTGGAACTTTGCATTTTGAATATTTTGCTTTTACCATGAATAGAATAGACATGTCAAGGTTTTGTGCAACGGTGTAATTTTTGGTCCTTTTATAGGGCTTCTGTGTTATTTGGTGTTGGGATCATTTGAATATGAAGTATATAAGCAGATATGGCACATGAACAGTGAAGGGGGAATTGGTACTGCTGGGTTCCAGTTAATGTGGTATATTACAGCTGTTGTCAGTTTTGGGAAAATGGGTGCCTAATCCTTTGCCAACTGTACTTTAGGATCAAATGAGTGACTACCTGAGTTTCTGCAGCAATTATCATCCATCTAGCCAATCTAGGAAAATTTCAATAGGAGTTATGGTAGACTTGTGTGCCAAGAGAAAACCTGGAGCAGCAAAGACAGATGATAGTGAATTGGCAATTAAAGAGAGAATACATTTTTGCACAGGAAATTCAGCAGAGGAGAAAGACAAAGGGGATGCTGTCACAGCGACAAAAGAGAAGCAAACAGAAGCCGCTGAGGGGGGCAGTTCCCCATGGATGACTACTAGATCCTTTTACCAAAATCCACTTGCTTCAGAGACTGCCTTTTCTCAAAGACGAAATTCAGTTTGGTGGGCACTAGTACTGCACTGCAGGAGCTTAATGGAGTGAAAGATGCACCAGCAACATATTCAGCTCAATTTTTTTCAAATCAAAACACTAGGTTACAGGATGGAGATAGGAGGCAGACGTTCATAGGCATGACTTACAAAAGGAAAGGAGGGAAGAAAGATATGTAACTCACAGAGGGTGGAGGAGTTCACTTTTGCAACTGCACTGGGAGTCCATGAATCAGATGAGGTTGTGATGGAGGAGAAAACAGATAAAACAGAAAGTTGAAAACTGAAACTTTGAAAATGCAGCTTTTGGAGATACTGGGAACTGTCTCTTTCCCAAAGGGTCTGCATCCTAATATACAGGTTCCTGAGGTTGGTCCCAGTAACTTAAAACCAGATGGAACTGTGGATCAAATAGGAGATACAACTGTAAAGCTCAGACAAATTTCAGATACTATAGAAATGGATACAGAAAGTCCTGACAATACTATCAAGAGACCTGAAACTCGATCTTTGACCCGAAAGAAAGCTCCATCCAAAGTACAACCAAACGAAACAGCATCAACCCGAACGCAAGCTCCAAAAAGGGTGCAATCCCACAAATCTAGATCTGGTTCGTCCTCTAAGCAGAAACTTCAAGAAAGCTTCTTTTGTTTTGGAGGTCAATCTGCAAAGCTAGATGGTGAGGTCAAGAGGGGCTCATTTATTCCTGGGAGAAAGAAAATTCAGAAGATCCCTGGCATTGTACCATGTAAAATCAACTTTTCGACAAAGGACAATGAAGATGACATCCAGGAAACAAGTCATAGAAAGAGAACTCCAGAGCCTCTTGAGAAAACTTCATTGTTTGGTAATAAAATCAAAAGCTTTCATGGTTGCTTTGCTCAGAGTAGGAGGAATCACTTGGATAAGGTCCAAGAAAAGGACTCACGTCAACCACCAGTGACTAGCAGGTGAATTTTGACAATCCAACACCTGAAAACAAGGATCAACAAGAAGATATTGGTGATCCCTCTAAGAAGAAAGTTGTAGACCTAAAAGATGGTTTTGAAAATCCAATTATTGGGATTAAAACATGCATATTAAGCCCTTGCCCCAGCTCATCCCCAAAAACTGTACAGATGTAGCAAGGTGTTGCAGTCCCACCCCATTGGAAAAGAAGATTTACAATGGGAAATATTTGAAGATTCAGGACTTTCCAAACTGCAAGAGATTGTTTTGAGTCAAATGTAAAAATATAGTCCTTGTCTTGTTATCTATTTTCCAAGGTCATTATATGATATCTAATATATCTCTGAGCTGTTCACTTTTTCTGTTCTTTTGCTTATTGAATGTCAGGATGATGCAGAGAAGCTTGCAGATTCTTTACCCAGGAACTGGATGCCTACTACTGAGAAAAATGATGGAGAAGATGTGCTGTCTGATGCGGTATCTGAGGAGAAAGACTCTGAGTCTGAGAGCTCTGAAGGAGGTTCACCCGTTATTAAAAGATTTGACAGTGAGTCTGCTAAAAATGTTTTTTATTATATAAACCTTATGCATTCCTTAAAACATCTTCTAATTTCTAAGTTCTGTTTCAAACATATAGAACAATAAGTTACACCATCCTGGACACCTTGGTTAAATTGTGCGCTCTTTTCGTTTGCATGATTATATAACATTCTGTCTGATGTCCACTACTCACGGGTTTGTCACCAATCTTCTCTGGGTTTCAGATGTAAGAACAAATTTTGGTGGCATCTAAATTTGATCTCCTTCATTGCTATTCTTTTTATGGGATCACCCTTACTGTTGTTGGATTCCTTTTCATTGCTTTACCTTTTTAATATATATATATATATATATATATTTCTCTGGTAGATAATTAATGGAAAGAACCAAATAAAGAACTGAATTCACCCTCAAATGCCATTTTCCTGCAAATAGTACGTAGTCCTAGTAAGCTATTATCTTGCTCTATTGCGTGTAAAAATATTGGTAACTTGTCACTTTTAGAGCAACATATGCTAAATATTTTATTGAAACGGGGGGAAGCATAAAACCAAATAAGAAAAGATAAAATTTATCCAAAGTATGTATGCAATACTGAATATTTTGTCTAGTGCAATTTAGGCTTACCATTTAATTTTTAGACTCTGAAACTATAAATTGTTAAGTGATATATAGCCTTACAAAATTTGATAAGCTATGAACAAGTAGAATTTTGTATGTTCTAATTGTCTTAGGTTTTAGAATAGTTAGTTGTCTTCTTTTCAAAATTTCCCTTTTAAGTAGGATACTCTGTATTTCCCTTATCTATTGGTCTTATGCAGGTCATAGAAAAAAAGTGACCTCACCATAATCTATTTAGGTTGAAAAACCAAAATTAATTCATCTTTCAGTTTCAGATAAAATGTTCAACAACAATGAAGGTGCCAGAGCAAGTGAACTCAATCCTACCTTGCCCCTCTCCAACAGGTAAAGCTCCTCTAAAATTTGTGTATCTACTGCTCTCCATATCCACACATCAAATGTCTTCTTGAATTGTTTATTCTGTATTTTTGTGCAAAATGGTTAGGGGCAGGAGAAAATGATTGGTTTGAGGAACCCTTCGGGCAAAATCAATCAACACAATGAATGGCAAGGTTTCTCTCATAGGATTTGAAAAAATCCCACTAATGTTATTTTTTTTGCCATTGATGTTTTTTTTTTTTTTCTTTTTTTCTTTTTTTATTGAGTGTTGTTTCACTTGACATATTTCAAGGTTGTAATATTGTTTGCTTCAACTTTAGAGAACTTCAGAAGGAAAATGGATTTAGCTACTAGAAAGAAGTCCTATGAAGTTTTAATGTTTATGTTTGAGGAGACAAAATTGAAGTTACGGAATACTAAGTCCCAAATTGAATATGATGTGTATGTATTTCTATTGACAATTTCCCCATATAAATATTGATTAATTAGATGTGCTTTTCTTGATTTTTCAGAGGAAAGCTAACTAGTCTCTGTGAGTCAAAGAGGAAATACCTAGAAACAAGGCTCCAAGATAACTATTATCCATCAGCTGATATTTGCAATGTATGTTTTAGTACTTCATAGCTTAGCACGAAACCTTAAACGTGACATTGTTTCATTAAAACTAATTTTATCTTAGGTGGATTCACCTTCAAATGAGGTGGTGGTCATTTTAGCACCTATTCACCAAAGTTTGTTTTATTCAAATGAAAGAAACCATGCATTTTTAAAACTAGAACCTAACTCATTTTGAAAAGCTTTAAGAGTTGAAACAATGACTACTTCTAACAAAAAGTACAATCATGTTCCAAATTCTTAGCGTCTATCTTTCTTACTAACTTCTTAGAAGTGTAAGTTGATAATGTCTCCTCTTCTCTTTTATCTTGGTAGAGAAACACAAATAATTAAAGTTGATAGATGAAAAGTTTAAGGAGGATATCCATCACCATCTCTTGGACTACAAAAGCACCCTTGAAGGGCTAGGAGCTCACTAGAATGAGTTAAAAGGAACTTTGAAATGGCAAGTATGACAGCTTTAATTACTGTGAATATCTTGCCTACTTATGACTATGCATTATTGTTGTGCGCTTGGTATATGCTCACTTTATGCTCACTTATGACTATATGCTTTATTGTTGGGTGCTTGGTATATATTCACTTTTGCCTACTTATGACTATGCATTAGAGAGAGTAATCATCCTTAAAAGATTACACCATTTTCTCCCTTATGACATACATGCCATAATGGTCAATTATTTGTTATGATCACAAGCTACTCTCTGGAAGTTTTCAATTTCGTCAGCAAAATATGAGGCATAAAACTGGTCTAGAATACACTTCGAGCATTTGAATACCATTGGGATCTTTTCATATTGGCTAGATAGCTTGGGTATTACAACAGTAAATGATTTTTCATCTAGGCTTAGCCATCACATTTATTAAGGAAACCTAACATCCTCAACTCTAATTCACATAATTGATTTGCAAAACACCATGATATTAGACACTTGACCATGGCAATCTTACAAGACTCTAAATCCAATCTTCCTTGTTTATTATAAATTCATTGTTAAAGTATATATTGGAGTCAAAGTATATTTGAAACTAATTATGCTACTGCATTAAAATCGTCAACTTGGACACATATTGGGCAATGCAAATGAAAATAGACTAAATTTTGATGTATGGCATTTGGACGTATGTTTTACACAATTTAAGAATTTATGTAGTTGGAATTATACATTAATTATTTACTGAGTCTTTAACGATTGACTTATATATGTAGAAGCATCACTCCGGAAGCTTCTCATGCAAGTAGAAGAAGTAGTTGAGGTTCAATTGGGTGATGCTAAAAGACAAATTTTGGGGGTTTGTGAGGCAAGTTTCCTATTTATGTTTCTTTGCTTAGTTTAGGGACACCTACTAGTTAGGGCAAAATATCATCTAGATAGTAAGTTGGCTTCATTAACACACACACACCCATATATAACCCTTACATATTGAACTTTTGAATGTACTACTTTGATGTTCAATCCTCATACTTTCAAGATTGTATTTTTGTAGACCTTTTATTCTAATATTACATACACTATCTTGCTATAATTTATTACCGTCTACAAGGGGAAAGATGGTTCAATTGAAACATGTAATAGCTGAGTTCTTGAGAGAAGACATATGAAATGATACATAGTTACATACTACCATTTAGATTCATATCCATACCCAAGTTAATCTTGTAAAGCTTCTGCATTTTGTTTGTTCTAAAATTGCCCTTATACCTCATTTTAGATAGGGTTTAATTTTTTTCCTATTAGCAGTCTCTACCAAAAGGGTTTTGTTTTGGCTTTCGTTTGACCACCATCTGCTGTTTGGATAGAGGAAAAATTTTTAAAAATATCTAAGGTCCATGTTAGGTTGCTTTAACATTTAATGTTTGATATATATATAATTTTTTTTTCTTAATTTTTGTCAATTTGCCTGATTGGTGTCAAGAGTTTTCATTTTTGTAATGATTGATGTGTTGTGGTCTGAGTCTATCCTTATCGCCAAGACACTCAACGATTGGCTAGAACTCGAATGGCTGTGTTTTTGTTTCGTAGCCAATGTGTTGAAACCTCAAAATAGGAAGGTACAAGGACAAGAAAACATAAAGGCACGTGAATCCCTGACATCACATGAAGGGCACGCCTTTGTTCCGAAGCAAAATGTCTTTGAAATGAGAACTGATCTCATGGGAATATAGGATACAAAGTCATGTCCCCGTTGATTGGGTCCCAAGATCCACGTGAAGGGCTCTCCCACGTCCTGCCAACAAGCAAATACTCCGTCGCACAATGGTAATGGGTCCCTTTCACATGGTTTATTGTGAATTATGAGAAGTACCAAATGCATTCGGTGATTGATTGTATTTTTTATTTTTTTAAAGTACAATACATACTCGGTCAAAGGCTTTTTTTTTT